CAAACAAACAAAAGTCGCAAAATTGAACCTGACTTCCTTAACAACTGCTTTGCTTACCGACGGACATTCTGGTGCCAATTGCGGTCGTAAGTCGAGGACCTCCGGCCGGTACCAATAATAGATGAGCAAATTCTACCCGAGGCTTGTAAACCGAGAACCAAGGTGACGCCTGCCAGGGAAACCTGAATTGAATGCTAAGCACCAGGGGACATTTGTCAGAAGGTCGCAAAAAGAGGATCAGACGACCCCGGGGACACTGCAACCGTCGTAAGTATGAGTCAGCTGCCAAGTATCTGAATGAATCTGGATTTCCCATTGACTTTGCGTGTCAAGGTCAGAAAAGGCGATCGCAAGACCTTGGGACACAGCCAACCGTCATAGATATGCCAAGCAATGGTCGTTAAGTGTGAAAAACGGTCACAAGTCACTTTTTTGAGGTCCGCTGTAAATTTGGATGGTCGCTAAACAAATGGTTGTTAAGTTGAGGACTACCTGTACTCATGGCATTAATATTTATTTATCTATTGATTCATTTCTTAAATTTATACGCCGCTCATCTCGTCGTCCAAATTCATAGCCGATTTGGTTGCAGAGCCCAAGGATTTATTTGCTGTTTAAATCTGAGGATTATCCCCTGGAGTGCAAAATATTACAACCACGTAAAACCGACGGCAAGTTATGAGGAATTCTGTAACCGTAAAAACACAGCCGAGAGGTCAGATGCACCAAGAGGAAAAAAAAAAAAAAGCAGTTTTGCCTCCGGAACAAAATCCGTCTTCTCTCCTAAGCTGCTCTACGGAGATGTTGATCCGAAATCAATGACGCTGGGCAAGTTGCAACTCGCACGCTGCATTTCTCTTTTTCCATAAACAGGAAAACACCTTTCCACGACACGATGAAAACGGCATTCACCACCTAAGGCACGGAAGTGGGGAATAGGAACAAAGGAAGGAAACACGCTACAGGGCAACCCTGGCCATGGAGGAGAAAAATCTCTCTCTGGAGGAAGAGCTGATAGTAGAGTAGAGTAGAGTGAAGGATAGGATAGGATAGGATAGGATAGGATAGGATAGGATAGGATAGGATAGGATAGGATAGGATAGGATAGGATAGGATAGGATAGGAAAGGATAGGAAATAGGATAGGATAGGATAGGACAGGACAGGAAATAGAATAGGATAGGAAACAGAATAGAATAGGATAGGATAGGATAGGATAGGATAGGATAGGATAGGAAATAGAATAGAATAGAATAGAATAGAATAGAATAGAATAGAATAGGATAGGATAGGATAGGACAGGACAGGAAATAGAATAGGATAGGAAACAGAATAGAATAGGATAGGATAGGATAGGATAGGAAATAGAATAGAATAGAATAGGATAGGATAGGATAGGAAATAGGATAGGATAGGATAGGACAGGATAGAAAAGATGGGATGGGATGGGATAGAATGGAATGGAATGGAATAGGAATTAGGAAAGGAATTAGGATAGGATAGGAATAAGAATAGAATAGAACAGAACAGAACAGAACAGAACAGAACAGAATAGAATAACAGAGTTGGAAGGGACCTTGGAGGTCTTCTAGTCCAAACCCCTGCTCAGGCAGGAAACCCTATACCCGTGATGGCGAACCTATGGCAGGTGTGCCAGAGGTGGCACGCAGAGCTCTCTCTGTGAGCACACGCGCCGTCGCCAGTTGCTCTTCCGGTTTTGCAGCGCACTGACCAGCTGGTCTGTGCAGGCGCTGGATTGCCGGAAACCGGCCAAAACAAATGGCCAAAAAACAGGCTGTTTTTCAGGCCAAAAAAGGCCCCAAAAACTGCCCGAAAACGGCCTGGAAACTGCCCAAAAAAGAGGCATGCAGTCGCCGGCCAGCTGATCTTCGGGTTTCCGGCACTCCGGCGCACACACATGGACACATATGCATGCGCGTTCCGGTTTGGGAACTCGTTGCCGAAAAGGTTTGCCATCACTGCCCTATAGCATTTCAGACAAATGGTTGTCCAATCTCTTCTTAAAAACTTCCAGTGTTGGAGCAGCCACAAGTTCTGGAAGCAAGTTTTTCCCACTGGTTTAATTGTTCTACTGATCATAGTCCTTGGCTTATGACTGCAATCAGAGCCTAAAATTTCCATTGCTAAGCGAGACGGTTGTTACACGGGTTTTGCTCATTTTATGACTTTTTTTTTTTTTTGGCCACGGTTGTTAAGTGAATCACTGCAGCTATTAAGTTAGTCATTAAGAGCTGGGGTGGCACAATGGTTAGAAGGCAGTATTTCAGGCTAATTCTGCCGACTGCCAGGAGTTCGATCCTGCCCTGCTTGGGCTGGACTCAGCCTTCCGTCCTTCCAAGGTTGGTGGTTAAATGAGGACCCAGATTGTTTTGTTTTGTTTTTTTAAATATTTTATTAGTTTTAAAAGTATCTATCTACCAACATCTCTGGTTTCTAACATTTGGGTCTAAATCAAGTTAATAAGTAATCTATTCAGGGATGAAATCTAAAATTTGTTACTACCGGTTCTGTAGGTGTGGCTTGGGGGGGTGTAATGTGACTGGGTGGGCATGGCCAACTTTTTTTTTTTTTTTAACTTTTCAAAGCATTTTTTTTACCACCTCTTTGACCAAGAGGTGGTAAAAAAAATGCTTTGAAAAGCCTCTGATGATCCCAGCTGAGCCGCGCGATCATCAGAGGCTTTTTTTTTTACTTTTAAAAGCATTTTTTGTCGGAAGAGGTTGTAGAAAAAATGCTTTTAAAAGTTAAAAAAAAAAAGCCTCTGATGATCGTGTGGCTCAGATGGGCATGGTGCGGGTGGGGGCATAGCAGTGGTGGGTTCCTCACGGTTAGGCCCAGTTCCGCCAAGCTGGTAGCGGTGACGATATGACGTCACCGAACCGGTTCTGCCCTCCTGGCCCCCCCACCCACCCCCGCATTATTCTTACCTTTTATTTGGCCCCTCCCCCAAACTATTGCTGCCTCCTAAGTCCCAGCTGATCAGCTAGAAGGAAAAAAACTGTTTAAACTCTTGCCGTGGGGCTTTAAAGGGCTGCCCTACAGCTGATCAGTGGTAAAAGGCAGTTTGGTGGTAGACCAGTGCCTGCAAAAACAAATGGGTAGACCGGTACAGCTCTGCAAGCAGTTAAAAGCCTGGTAGACCAGTACCCCTGCTAAATCCTAAAGAATTGTCACATGACCATCAAGCCACGCCCACAAAATAAGCCACGCCCACAGAACCGGTAGTAAAAAATTGTAGCACTCACCCCTGGAGCGCAGGGATTTTTGCTACCGGTTCTCCAAACCACCCGCCGCCATCGCTACCAGATCGGGCGATCCGGTCTGAACCGGGAGCATTTCACCCCTGAATCTATTCTTTGATCTATATACAAATTTACATATCTCAGATAGGTAACCCAGATTGTTGGGGGCAATAAGCTGACTCCATAAACTGTTCAGACAGGGCTGTAAAGCACTGTGACGCAGTATATTATATAAGTCTAAGTGCTATTGCTACTAACACAAGTTAAAAGGGATAAAATCTTACAAAAGCCCTGCAATTCTAACTACAGGTAGTCCTTGACTTACGATGGCAACGGAGGGACAGTCTTGGCTTCCCAATGATTTTGTTCATCAGAAGGTTGCAAAAGGAGGTCATGTGACTCCGGGACACTGCAACCCATCATAAATACAGGTAGTCCTTGACTTACAACAGTTTTTTAGTGACCGTTCGAAGTTGTATCATTAAAAAAGTGAGTTATAAGCCGTTTTTCACACTTACAACCATTACAGCATCCCCATGCTGTAATCAAAATTCAGACAGTTGGCAACTGGCTCATATTTATGACCGTTGCAGCATCCCCGGGGGTCATGGGATCATCTTTTGCAATCTTGACAAGCAAAGCCAAAGGGGAAGCCAGATTCACTTAACACATGTGGCAAGAAAAGTCGTAAAATGGGGCAAAACTCACTTAACCAATTTCTCACCTAGCAACATCAATTCTGGGTTCAATTGATCTGCAGAGAAAACCATGGCTACCAACCTGCCTTCCATGGAGGACCTGTATACTGCACGAGTCAAAAAGAGGGCTGGGAAAATATCTACAGACCCCTCGCATCCTGGACATAAATTGTTTAAACTCCTTCCCTCAAAAAGACGCTATAGAGCACTGCACACCGGAACAACTAGGCACAAGGACAGTTTTTCCCCGAACGCCATCACTCTGCTAAACAAATAACATTGTCAAACTATTCACTAAGTCTGCACTACTATTAATCTTCTCATCGTTCCCACCACCCATCTCCTCCCACTTATGACTGTATGACTGTAACTGTGTTGCTGGTATCCTTACGATTTATATTGACTGTTTCCTAGTATGATTTGATTGCTTATTTGTACCCTATGACCATCATTAAGTGTTGTACCTTATGATTCTTGACGAACGTATCTTTTCTTTTTATGTACACTGAGAGCGTATGCACCAAAGACAAATTCCGTGTGTGTCCAATCACACTTGCCCAATAAAAAATTCTATTCTATTCTATTCTATTCTATTCTATTCTATTCTATTCTATTCTATTCTATTCTATTCTATTCTATTCTATTCTATTCTATTCTATTCTATTCTTCAATTGCTTATTTGTTCCCTATGACTATCATTAAGTGTTGTACCTTATGATTCTTGATGAACGTATCTTGTCTTTTTATGTACACCGAGAGTGTATGCACCAAGACAAATTCCTTGTGTGTCCAATCACATTTGGCCAATAAAAAATTCTATTCTATTCTAAATTGTGATTGGAAGTCAAGGACTACCTGTATATAGTGAGCATGGGGAGATTTCAGAGCTGGCTTGGATTTACTGCAACCAACATCCTTAATAAAAGGACCCTTTGCTTAACCTAACGGGAGTCGAAGGTTTTTCCTTTCTAAGGGATCGGATTGGGGCAGGTCTGAGAAACATTGGGCTAAGCGCATCGACTCTTTTGATTTATACTCACTGACGAAATGCCGCCATGGTATTCTCCAAATTCTCTCCCGCACCTGTAGAACGAAAAAAATGAGTGAAAGCAGGTAACTATGATTTTGCTTTTACAGATCATCCTCAAGGCTCACCAAAGAGCCTTGGTGGTGCAGCGGACTAAAGTGCTGTTAAATAGCACTTAGCTGCCAGCTGCCTGCAATTACCACGAGTTCAAATCTCACCAGGCTCAAGGTTGACTCAGCCTTCCATCCTTCCGAGGTAGGTAAAATTAGGACCCGGATTATGGGGGCAATAAACTGACTTTGTATAAAAAAGAACACCGCTTTGGGGGGGGGGGCAAAGCCCTACTAAGCAGGTATATACAAAAGTGTGAAGGCTATTGCTTAACGCATTGTAAGCCGCCCTGAGTCTCCGGAGAAGGCCGGCATATAAATCGAACCAATAAATAAATAAATAAATAAACTTACAACCATTCGTTTATTGACCGTTTGAAGTTGCAACCGCACAGGGGGGAAAAAAGTGAATTCTGATCGTTTTTCACACCATTATTAACCTCTCCGTGGCCCTGCCATTTTCCTGCCTGATGCAGGACTAGAACTCACCGTCTCCTGGTGACTGGTTCAAAGCCACCCCATTGCTTTCATGCATAAGGCGGGACTTGACCACCGCCTGGTTTTTAGCCTGTTGCCATCCCCGCATGCAAACTTTTCGGTCCAATAAACTGTTGTGGCTCCGTTGCCTGAGCCTAGGCTATTGACAGATGCAGACTCTGAGAGTGAGGGAGAGGAGTTGGCAAGGCCTCCCTCTCCAGGACCCTCCTCTCTGGCAATGTCTCCGGAGGACACCGAAGGCCAAGAGATAGGCCCAGAGCCAAGCACGTCCCTGCAGCCACAGGTGGACAGCGATGAAGGAGATAAGTGCTGGCTGGATCCTCGACAGCAGCGCAGGGAGAAGCGTGCGCAACAGAGGGGAAGGCGTGCCAGAGATTAGCTGAGTCACTGGACCACACCCCACAGGGTATAAATGTGGGTGTGGTGACCGGTTCAGTTTGTGACGAGCAAAAACTAGAAATAATCCATGATCTCTGCATTACTGGACTTCTGCCTGCCTTGTCGGACCGCATTTGGACTAATCCTTGTATTGCTGAAACTTTGCCTGCTTTATCGGAATGCTTGCAGTCTAATCTTTGTTTTGTGTGAGTAAAGTCTGAATTGGCAGCTAGCCACTGGGTTGCTGCCAGCTTTATCTTCAAAGACTTTGTCGTGTGGCTTATTAACTCTGGGCCGTCTGTGGGGGTGCATGTGTGGGACGGGGACAGAACATAAACCCTGTTTTACCTCAGATAGCAAAAGCAAAAGTAACAGTAACAGTAACGGAGTTGGAAGGGACCTTGGAGGTCATCTAGTCCAACCCCCTGCTCACACAGGAGACCTGTACGAGGGATTCAAACCGCCGAACTGCCAACGTTTCTTATCGACAAGCTCAGTGTCTTAGCCACTGAGCCACCTAGCTGCTTAAAAAGTCCCTATCTGAAGACCAGGCTGCCTATCAAAGACTTATTCATGTCTAATTTGTGATAACTACCATCCTGTGTCCCAAAGGGGCTTTTTTTCAAGAGGCAACTGGACTTCCTGGTTTTTTTTTCTTTGAAGATCTTTCGCTTCTCATCCAAGCAGCTTCTTCAGCTCTGACTGGATGGTGGAGAATGGACGGATTTCTACTCCTTGCAGACAGCTGGTCATTTGCGTCCTTTTAGAGAGGCGTTGAGGCCACTTGTCTGTGTCCCTCAGGGTCACCTGAGTGGTGCAAATGGGTGTGGAGCCTTCTTGGAACTGCTGAAAGGATTGGAGATTGGAGATGTCGTATCTCTTGGCCTCTGTTGAGACAGGGCTGTTCAATTTGGACACAGATGGCCTCTTTGACCCCTCTTTCAAACCAGAGGTCCTCTCTGTCCAAAATGTGGCCTTTGCTGTCTTCAAAAGAGTGGCCTTTGTCTTTTAAATGCAGATGGGCTGCTGAATCTGGGCCCGATGCGTTTGTTCTCCTATGTTGAGCCATGTGTTTGTGAAGTGGCTGTTTTGTTTCCCCAATCTACAGATCTGCACATGGCTCACTGCATTGTACTGCATGTACCACGTTGCTCAATTTATGTGTGGATGTTCTGTCAGAGCTGAAGAAGCTTCTTGGATGAGAAGCGAAACGTCTTCAGAGAAAAAAATATATCAGAAAGTCCAGTTGCCTCTTGAAAAAGCAACTTTGGGACAACTGTGACCTGGTTGACTGAGAATCTTCATACACATTTACCAGCCTGTGCGGGATGGGAGCAGCGGTGGGTTTTACATATTTTTACCATCGATTCGCTGCACGTGCGCACACTTGCTTTCCGCGCACGCATTTTGCTTTTGTGCGTGCCTTCCATGCATGTGCCCAGCCTCAAAAACGTGGCTAAATAGGATGGCATTACGCCGGGGCGGGTGGGCACGCCCACCTGCAGTCACCGCTACCGGTTCATTAGAACTGGTACAAACCGGCTGAATACCATCTCTGGATGGGAGAAGCCAGCCACACTTTGTCCTTCACCTGGAGAAGACCAATCGGGCATTATAATTTCTGTGCCCACCTCAAGCTTCAAGCAGAGATATAGATAGTCCTCGATTTACAACCACTTGCCTATCTGTGCAGAAATACAGGTAGCCTTCCACTTAAAACCACTCGTTTAGCAATTGCTCCAAATTACACGGCCCTGCCAAAAAGCGACTTACAACCAGTCCTCTCACTTACGACCGTCACAGTGTCCCCAGGGTTACATGATCAAAATTCAGGCCCGCGGAAACTGGCATGTACAGGTAGTCCTCGACTTACAACCACAATTGAACCCAAACTTTGTGCTGTTAAGTGAGATATGTGTTAAGTGAACTTTGCCACATTTTACGATCTTTCCTGCCACAGTTGTTAAGTGAGTGACTGCCGTTGATAAGTTAGTAACACGGCTGTTAAGTGAATCTGGCTTCCCCTGTTGACTTTGCTCGTCAGAAGGTCGCAAAAGGGGAATCACGTGACTCCGGGATACTTCAACCGTCAGTTGCCAAGCGTCCGAATTTTGATCAAACATGACCGTGGGGACACTGCAAAGTTTGTAACTTTGAAAAACGGTCCTCAGTCACCTTTTTCAGTGCCGTTGTAACTTTGGTCACTAAGCGAACTGTTGTAAGTTGAGGACTACCTATATTTATGACAGCTGCAACCTCACAAGCAAACTCAATGGCGGAAGCCAGTCGCTTTAAAAAAAAACACGATCCCACTTAACGACTGTAGCAGTTTTCTTAATAAATGTGGCAAAAAAAAGGGGGGGTTGTAACATTGAACGCGACTCGCTTAATAACTGCATTGCTTAGCCATGGGCATTCCGGAGCCAATTGCGGTCGTAAGTCGAGGACTTCCAGCCGGTACAAATAATAGATGAGCGAATTCTACCCGAGGCTTGTAAACCGAGAACCAAGGTGACGCCTGCTATGGAAACCTGAATTGAATGGGAAAGGGGAAATTTGATGGTTGCATTCAATCAGCAGCAGTGGCGGCACTGAATGGCAGCCCAATCTACGGATGTCAGGGAGAAATACTCCAGGATTAAAAAGCACATTTATGTACATTAGTAGAGGGGGCATTTACTCGGATCAAAGTGCTCCCTTCCCTTTATGACAAGTAGACACACTACAAAGAGTGCAGAGAAGAGCAACGAAGAGGATTAGAGGACTGGAGGCTAAAACATATGAAGAACGGATGCAGGAACTGAGTACGTCTTTGATGAAAAGAAGGAGTAGGGGAGACATGATAGCAGTATATTCCAGTATCTCAGGGGCTGCCCCAAAGAAGAGGGAGTCAAGCTATTCTCCAAAGCACCTGAGGGCAGGACAAGAAGCAATGGGTGGAAACTCATCAAGGAGAGAAGCAACTTAGAACTAAGGAGGAATTTCCTGACAGCGAGAAGAATTAACCAGTGGAACTGCTTGCCTCCAGAAGTTGAAAATGCTCCAACACTGGAAGTTTTTAAGAAGATGTGGGACAACCATTTGTCTGAAGTGGTGTAGGGTTTCCTGCCTAAGCGGGGGGTTGGACTAGAAGACCTCTAAGGTCCCTTCCAACTCCATCATTCTAAATTCTAAGTCAAATCCTTCTTCCCTAGAAAACAGTCACGATAATGAGGAGGAGACAAGAAAATGCGATCGTTGTCTCTCATCCCAACTTCACATAGCAGCCGAAACAAAGATGGAACATTTTAATTTTAGGATTTTTCCTTGGTGTTTTTTTTCCCCTTCTTCTTCTTCTTCCCTATGTGTAGTTGAGGGAACTGAGAGAGAGAGAGAGAGAGAGAGAGAGAGAGAGAGAGAGAGAGAGAGAGAAAGAGAGAAAGAGAAAGAAAGAAAGAAAGAAAGAAAGATAGATAGATAGATAGATAGATAGAGAGATAGAGAGATAGAGAGATAGAGAGATAGAGAGATAGATAGATAGATAATGTCTAGGACAGGGCAGGGATGGGTTCTAAAAATTTTTACTATTGGTTCTGTGGGCGTGGCTTATTTTGTGGGCATGGCTTGGTGGGGGGTAATGTGACTGGGTGGGCGTGGCCACCTTTTTTTTTTTTTACTTTTAAAAGCATTTTTTCTACAACTTTAAGAGGTTGCAGAAAACAATGCTTTGAAAAGCCTCTGACGATCCCAGCTGAGCCACAGGATCATCAGAGGCTTTTTTTTTTTACTTTTAAAAGCATTTTTTCTACAACTTTAAGAGGTGGTAGAAAAAATGCTTTGAAAAGCCTCTGACGATCCCAGCTGAGCCACAGGATCATCAGAGGCTTTTTTTTTTTTTTTACTTTTAAAAGCATTTTTTCGGCCGAAGAGGTTGTAGAAAAAATGCTTTTAAAAGTTAAAAAAAAGTGCCTCTGATGAGCTGGGCGGGCAAGCAAGTGGCGACTGGGCCGGGGACCGGTTCGGGGGCGTGGCCAGCCAATGTTATTACCGGTTCTCGGAACTCCTACAAATTTTTACTACCGGTTCTTGTG